CAAAGCAGGGCTGGTGACTGAGAAAGCAGACTAGCTCAGGATGGTTCAAACCAGGCCAAACTGGTGTAAGCTCAGCCTCACAGGAACCCAATAAAACTGCTCCTTGGGGGTCTGTAAGCAGCAGCATGAGACTCTTTCATGAGGAGCTGTGTGTTCTTGTGTAATTAAAAATACAACAAAGCATGAGCAAATTTTGTAAACAATTTGAGCAGAACAAAATGACCTCCCAGCCAGTCTCTGCATTGAAGTGCATGCTCATGTGGACGGAGGTATACTTAGTAGTGGAAATGGGCTCCTAGGCTCCTAGGAAGGTTTCTCCAGGGAAGCTTCCTTCAGCCACTAGCCCCAGGTCAGGCCATCTGGGGAGCTGAGGAAGAGGCTCTGGAGTGACTGGACTTTTGGAGTCTGTAAAATCATTGTGACAGTTCCCAGGATTCTGCCAGACACTCTGAGCCTCTCCCCATCTCAGAACCTGAAAGACTGGATCTATGCCATACCTTAGCAGGTCATAGACGGTGAATCCCATGGGAATGGTTGGCAGGACCTGAGTTACCCCATCTCACAGAGGAGATAACTGAAACACAGGGAAGACATCCATCTTCTCCCCAGGTTCTCTGATGCAGGTGCCAAGGGCGGTCCCTTAGCGCACATGTCCTTTGGGTCTCCACCCATGAGGGACAACTTCCTGCCACCCAAACCCTCCTTTCTTGCAAGGTCAGGGCAGACACAGTAGCCCCCAAACATAGAGGGCTGTGAGGGTCAGACCCTGGACAGCACCCAAGCCGCCATGCCTCCCTACCACATGGGATCATTCCAGCTGTCTCACCAGCACTAATGAGGACTGTGAGGACTGATGATGCAGCCGAGGGCACACCAGCCCTGGACTTGTACCCACCGACTGATACCCGATGGTCCTTACTAAGGCTGTGGCTGCAAACAAGGGGACCCCAGGCACACAGACGGGTCTCCTTCCCTTTAGGGGCAGGCTCTGTCTGCTTCTTTCTCTGTCCCCCCCCCCCTTACCCCGGCCTGTGCCCTCTGATACTGTGGTTGTTGTACAGACTTATGACCCCTATGTACAGTAGGACACAACGCTGCCCGGTCCTGCCATCCTCATGAAATCCAAGCCGTGGTGGCCCATGGCGTGCGCCTTGGCCGAGTCTCAGAACTCAGCCTTTCTCCCTAGTCTCTCTCAGCCTGGAAGTACCACTGAAACTGTCCAGCATTACAGTAGCATCATGGCAGACGTGGGGGCCGACCAGGAGACGCACCAGCTGGGAACTGAGTCCCGGTCTTCCACAGGTTGTCGGTGTGTGCTGTCAGACCAGTGCCGAGAGTGGTTGGTGGGTTTGAACTGCCAACCTGTGGATAGCAGTCCAGTGCTTACCCTACAGAACAACCACAGTCTTCCTCATGGAAGATGGGAATTCAACACTGCCCCCCATACAGCTGTGAAACCCAACCAGTACTGCTAGTTCCAGCGTGGGGGCCCCAGGGGTTACAGTAGAACTGATCATAGGGCTTTCTTGGCTACAGCATTCAAACCACCCAGGGGCCTTGCTTGATACTACTGCATATAAAATTACCACCATCAGATCATTTGTAGCCTACAGCATGACCATCTCATGGAGTTCAACCTTATATGCCAAGGATCCCATATTGTGTGGAATCCAGATACTCTTTCCCTCTGCCCCTCCCAGCCCACACCATGGCCTCAGTGCCCTACTGGTTCCTTCTCTCTCATTGGCTCTCCTTCGTGCCCTACTGCCTGCATGCTGGTTCCTTCTCTCTCATTGGCTCTCCTTGCCCCACTCAGGCTCCAGGACACCGGCCCCCATCCAAGCCCCACAGGCTCCCCTCTGGTGGCCTGCTGTGGGTCTGCTAGTCTCTACCCTCTCTGTGCAGTGCCATGTCTGAGGACAAAGCTCATGTGTGGGAATACTGTCTGCAGGGCAGGCAGTGCCAAACATGCCTCCAGTATTATGTCTCAGAATCTGAGTCATGTCGAAGAATGACTCGCCTCAGGAAACACAGTGCGGTCACGGAGCTTAGCCTCAAATCCCCAACAGATGAGTACACCGAGGCTCGGACTGGCTCAGAGCCCTACTCCCATCCTGGCTGCCGCCCTACACAGTGAACCCAAACCAAACCACTGTGCCATCATGTGAACCCTTACTCACGTCGACCCCGAGGATGTCGGAGCACAACTGTGCCTACAGGGTTGTCAACAGCTGATAGTTCAGAAGTAGATCACCAGGCCTTTCTTTCTTAGTGCCTCTTGGTGGACTCGAACTTCCAACCTGTTGGTTAGCAGTGAGCACATGAACCGTCTGGACCACCCTAAGGGGCTCCCGCCCCGCACAGCCGCCTCACTCACTCTCCCCAGAGCTGGTCACCTGTATGACCCTCAATAGACCCTAGTCATAACAGGCAAGGGGGGCTTCTCCTGGCCTTTCAAGTCACACCAGTGATGGGGGGGCGGTTGGGCCCTGGGTCCTGTACCATGAATACACGGTGGTGTGAGGACAGTGGTTTATCTAAAGACACTTCTCACCATGTCCCCCTTAACACCAGGGATGGGGGCTCTTTGGAAGGACGGGGGCGAGCTTGCTTGGAGGCAGCAGCCAGGTGTGCACTACCTGAGAAACGCATGTGGCTGAAGGGTCCACACACACAAATCACCCAGAGCAGCCCCCCACTCTGCTCCCGGCCAAGTGTGTCCTCTCTTCCACCCACCTGAGGCTCAGTGAGCGGCTGGTAGGTACCGTTGACTTGGCTCCAACTCACAGCAGCCCTGTAGAGGGTTTCCAAGGAACGGCTGGTGGGTTTGAACTGCCAGCCTTGCAGTTAGCAGTCCAGTGCTGATCCTACAGCACCACAGCAGAAGCAGGGAATCACTAAAAAGGGGGGTTCACGATGTTATTATGTAATTACCCTTTCTAAATGGCTAGAGGGCACCCTCTGAGCCCAGTAGCTGAGTCTCGGGAAAGGTATGCGAGGCCACATCATCCTAAACGTATCCCTCAATGCACATGAAGGGAAAAGATGTCCTGGTGGTGCCGTGGGTTAAGCATTGGGCCAGTAACCGAAAGGTGAGCAGCTCAAACCCAGCAACCACTCCACAGGAGAAAGCTGACACTGTGAATGAAGACCGATGGAAACCCATGGGGCAGTTCTGTCCTCTAGGGTCGCTGTGAGTCACAATCAACTCCACACAGCAGGTGTTGGTTTGTTCTGGAAACTCCACCCTCTCTTCCTCTGTCACCTCCCTCCCCAGCACCCAGGAGGCTGCCTCAGTTTACCCGACTCCTGGCTCAGAAGCTTCATTTCCTGCTTAGCGCTGTGTTGTTTTCTCACCATGGTAAAAGAAGCACTTTAGAAATACGCCATTGAGTAGCTTTGCCGTGTGGTGTAGACCTCACCACCAGCTACTTCCCAACACTTTCCAACCCTTCGGAGGGACTCTCAGCTTCTGCCTCACTCGTAACCACTGACAAACTTTGCTCTCTCTGCTTGCCTCGTCTAGATGTTCCCTATTCGTAGAAGCCTCACACAATATAATGTCCTTCAAAGTTGGCGGTTCAAGCCCACCAGCCATTCAGTGGGAGCTAGATATGAGGCCTTCTGCTCCCATGGAGACTTACAGCCTCAGAAACCCCTTACACAGGGTCTCCGTGAGTCCAAACAGATTCAGCCACAACAATGACAATGTTCTCCAGTTTCCTTCCTGTGGGGGCATGCGGGCGGACTTCCCATCATTTTTACTCTGTGAGGCAGCCACTAGGAAGAGGGGAGGTGACCCGGATTCCCTCGGGCCCAGAGTCATCAGGAAGCTGGAAGCGCCTCTTTTACTGGCCTTACAGATAGAACAAGGGGCCATGAGCCCAGTCAGCCACTTCCAGAATCTGGAAAAGGCAAAAACAGGGCCTTCAGTCTATTTCAGCCTCTGACCTAACGGCTCTGATGAATCAGGATCTGGGGTAAACTGTTAACAACCACGGCAAGCATCACTCACAGGGCCACCCCGTGGCTGCCGCCCCGTCCCATCTCAGCCCTCCATCCGCGGGTGCCCCAACGTCAGCCTGTAACCTCCGTCTGTACACCGCCAGCACTGTGTCCCCCCTCTGGGCTAGGAGGGCTTCTGTTTCATTCAGGGGACTGTCCTCAGGGATCCGTGTAAACAAATGAATCAACAGGCCCTTCCAATTCTTTCTGAACCTGGGACACCTCTCCAGGCTAGTTGTGCGCACTCCCCTCTAAGTCCCGGCTTTCTGGACTCTGAGGTCATTCCCTTGTGGGCCTTTTCATACAACACTGATGAGTCATTACAGTCAGACTCAGGCAAGCCCCCAGGTATCCCCTTAGGAGACACTGCGAGAGGAGTCCTGCCCTGTGGCTTACAGCCAATAAAGGCGAGTCTATGAAAGGACATGCTTGTCTTTGTCTCTGAAGATCACTGGAAGGTGGAGAAGCAGGTCAGGGCTAGACTGTTCTTTCTCACCCCTAAAATAGGCTCCGAAACAAGTGCTCCCCTGGCCCTGTGAGCGCTCCCAGGGGACACTGCCTTAACCAGATTCTCCCCTCTGTCTTACAGTGATGTCGTCCCGCCCGGAGAACCTCTGAACAAGAACAATCGCCCCAAAGTGACATCCCGCTTCCCCAAGCTGGCCCGAGGACACCCCAGGGAGACGCGCAACATCGAGCCCCAGAGCGGTGACCTCTGACATGAACAGAGCCCCAGACATGGGTCCCGTGTGCGGCACCAACCTGGTGAACCCTGAAACCAAACCCTCCCTTCCCTGCCAGTCAAATGACACCGGATTAAACTGGTCTCTGTCCTCCGAGAGCCAGCCAGACTCGGAGACACATCAGTCTGTCAGGGGCGGGCAGGAGGGTGGACGCAGAACTCTGGTGTCAAAGGGCCCTGAGAAGGAGACTCGGACCCACGTGGGAGGGAGAATGACTGTTCCCTTCATGTTTTCCTTTTACATAACTGCCTGCTGCATCCTACGAACATTCAGGGACCCGGGGTCTTGTTCAGGGCCTGTTTACCCCTGCCACAGAGGCGCCTCACAGCCAACAGGGCGTGAGGGAGACACACGGCTGAGAGGGCCCATCTGGGACCACACGTCCTGCCCACAGACATGTCCCCAAGGCGCCATCTGCCCCTCAGAGATCAGTCCTCCCCCGATTCTTCCAGCTCACTGGCATCTCCGGGTGCAGAGCGCTGGCAGCCAGCGACATCACCCAGAATCCATCTCCCTCTGTGGCAGAAGAGCAGTTCTGACAAGACCCAGACTGAGGGAGCACGTGTGTGGAAGGCGATGACCAGGCCATGTGGTGGACATGTCCTAGCGGGAGGAAGACTCCAGGAAGGATCCCCGAAGCTCCTGCTGCCTGCTCTCCCCTTGGGTTGAAGAAACCTGGGTGTCCCACGTACGGCCCTCGGGGACATCGCCGTCTCTTCCTCGGCACTGGGCCCGTCTGGCAGTCGGGTTTCTCCTCTTCACACCCAAGTCACACTTCCCTGGATTTGGTTTGCGTCATGTCGGCCATTTTGTGGTGGGTCTTTGATGCCAAGTGAGTGCCGGCCTCCATCTGCTGTTCTGAATGCAGGCCCATACCCCCACCGGAGCCCAGTGATCATGAGACGTGCCCTGGTCCACCAGAGTGGGAATTCTAGAACCTTCTTCCTGGGGCTACATGGGAGCTGCCCAGGCAGTGTTCTGTTTCACCCCACTTCATGATCATGCAGAAAGCCTGCAACGCACCCCCTGGTTGTAGCTCCCAGATGAGCCTGGGACTCACACATCACCCCAACTCCTTAATGCCCACTATGGAGCCTCCATTGCTGCCCGGACCAAAAGGCTGTGGGGTGCAATGCAGCAGACACCCCCACCCCACTCCCCCTGTGCCCTCAGTCTGGCAGAAAGGACCAGGCAAAGCCCTGCCTTTGTCCCAAGCCAAGATTGGCCCCTGAGAAATGTCATGTCCCCTACAGAGACACTGGGGCTGGAGACCCTCTCACACTTCGTGGCCAGGGTAGGGGCTCTCAGTCTTTCCAACGCAAGACGGTCATGTGCTTGGCAAGGACTGCACCTAGGCCCACCTCTGGCATCATCTCATGTCTCCTCCTCCGGATGAACAGAACTTGGGACGAGGAAGGCTATGCCTGGCCGAACAAGCGAGAGCGGCCAGGAAGGGAGCTCTCACAGCTGGGCTCACTGCCCACACCTACGGGCAGGGCTCCGGCTTTCTCTGTGGAAACCATTGCACTCATTGGGCAACCAGCAAATCTCTGAAGTTCCCACGGCACCTTTACGACACAGAGCCAGTGACATCGGTATTGTTCAGCCGGCTGCAGCAAAGAAGGGCGGGTGAGGAGGTGGGAAGGAAGCCTCCAGCCCACCGGCTCTACCTTCTGAAGAGCTCATCTTTCTTAGCACCTGAGGCAGACTCTGGGCCTGGTCAAGATAGTGGTCACTGCTTTCTCTCTCCTTGGGTCAGTCACTCACCCTGAGGATAACATCACAGGGTGGCCCTTGGTCCCACGCATGGTGAGCCTGTCCACTCCGCAGCACCCTTGTACCTTGGCATGTAAATGACCACAGAGAACAGGCCGGTGGTTCAGACTGGAGCTGGGAAGAGACGTTCCCCAGGCCCCCACCCAGCGGCCCTGGAATACGGGCTCAGAGGGGCACCTTCTACTCCAAAGGCTACGGCCTCCTGGGTTCTAGGCTGTGTCCCCAGAACTGGGCTGTAGCTGCCAACAAGCAAGGTCTACCATCCCAAACACTTTTCACAATATTGTGCATTCTTTGATTACAGCCAAGGTTAAATATTTGCTTTTTCAGTCTGTGCTAATTTTGCTTAACTGTAGTAACACTGTATATTTTATCTAACATTCCTGTGCCAAAAAGTTCATTGATCACCCAGTCCTGATTATGTCTCAAAAATCAAGCGTGAACGGCTGGATCGGCAGGAAGGAGGTGTCGCGCGGACGATGTGCGTATCCTGTGGTTGGTACCTCGCACCACTCAGACCGCTTGCAAGTTCTCACTCGTCCTCAGCCACTGTCACATATGGGAGCTCCAAGTTCTCTCATGGCTCCCTACTTCTGTCCCTAAATCCTAACCACCACACTGAATCAGCTTCCGGCCCGCCCAGATTCCGGTGAGAAGGAAAGGAACCTGGTTTCTGTGAAAAGTGGCCAAGCCCCCTAGATGCCACTGGATTCGCCACAGGTCAGTTTCTGTTGGCATCACCGGGAACCCAACAGCCCACCTTGTCCGAATTGGACCAGCTGCTTGGGCAAGGCCCTGAGGGGGGCAGCTTGGTATCCGTTTCTCATCACGAGGAATACTGGGATGACAAACACACGTGCAGCAAACTGCTGACCATCGAAGCAGGAGCCGGTTAGGAATTTTAATATCTTGGATTCAAACTAGAAAGACATTTTTTCCTCTGCAGCGTTCAGGTCACCGTCCCTGGAATAACCAACTGGCAGGCCACTCTGATTCCCACGACCTCTAAGTACAAGGGACCTTTGCTCAGAGGCCCCTCCTGGCTTGGTCACAGTGACCAGGACCCCAACTCTGCCTGGTACCCACTCAAGCAGACTGTGTATACCTACAGCCTAAAAGTGTGCAAATCTGTTCTGAAAGAGTAGTATTCTCCTAACCACCCTCCTATGTTAAGGTTTACACCCTCCTATGTTAAGGTTTACACAACAGACTTTTTAAACAAATGTGTTTAATTTTCTAAAATCTCTTGTATTCAAATTTTCTTTTGAAATAAGCTATGGTAATTTTGTTACAATCTGGTTGAAATACAGCTCTTTACAATGACAAAATAAAAATAAGAGACATTTTATAAATGAGATACTCAGTTTCTGTGCCTTTCCATAAGCTGGGGATTTAGGAGTGAGCCCTAAGAGCTGGCGTCCAGGACGCAGTCTTGCAGAATGTGCCCTTTGGTTGTTTAAATGATGATTCCTGAGTGTGTGTGTACGTCCAGATAAAACAGAGGGAAGAGACGCAAGTACTGTTGAATGATGCTGCACGAAGGCGATTATAATCACTGCAATGAAATGATGAGTGAGAAGCCGATGTTCTCTCCTAGAAACTATCACTCAGTTCACAATAAAAACTTATTAAAAAAAAAAAAAAAAAAGCCATGAGAACTCAATACATCTATTCGAAAGGGCCTGGGAGAGAAATTCTAGAATAGAGGAATTTAGCAAAGAATCAGAGTACAAAAATCAGTACTTAGAAAGAAATCTAACCAAAGGCATGAAGGACTTAGACATCAAAACACTGCTGAATGAGATTAAAGAGGACTTACAAAAATGGAAAGATGTTGATAAATGGATAAAGGAATATGATTCAAACATACAATGGAATACCAAGAGTACAAATAAAGAAAAGGTGTCTCAATGCCTGCTACAGTATGGGTGGAGCTGGAAGATACTATGCTGAGTGAAACAGGTCAAAAGGATAACTATCAGGAAAACTAGAAAAAGCCAATATCTAGTATTCAAAGTTTGTTAGTGGTTACCAGGCAGGAGGAGGGGAAGGGAGGGTGGTTTACTGATGGAAATGGTTTACTGATTACAGTTAAGGTTGGACAATTACTGTAGTTGCTGTTAGTAAGTTGTACACTTGTCAAAACATCAATTGACAAAATTGTGTGATAATGACTTAGAAAAAAAAAAAAAACAGAGCAGCTGCAAGGCTGCTTCTATGCAACCAAGAACTTCTTTAAGGTCTTGGTTTCATGGTACATCCCGGTTAGCTGGCCTAATACAATGTTTATCAAGTCTAATGTGTTGTCAGGAGGGACCAGTCCCTGAAGAAGGACATCAAGCTTGGTAAAGTGGAGGCTCAGAGGTGCCTTGGAAGACTGGCAATGGCTTCAGAAAGGTGGCAGCCTTGAACACCCTGCACACGGGTCACCACGAGTCCAAATGGATTGGGTGGTAATCAACAACGACAACAAATTTTACACTCACAATTCATATGCTTCCGCACGCCTAGAGGCAACTCTATCAGACGGCACCATTCCTTACATGGATGGTCCTACTCCTATATGCTGGCACCAATCTCATGTCTTACCGCCAGACTCCTATGTCTCATCAGCACCTGGAGTTCTGGTGTGGCGCTGTAGGAAGAGCACCGGACTGCTAACCACGAGGTTGGCAGTTCAAACCCACCAGGCATTTCTCAGAAACCCTGTACAGGTTGGCCATGGGTTGGAACTGAGTAGGTGGCATTTAACAACCAAGAACTCCCTGTGGGTACCTTAATACACATCTCAAAGTGAACTCGTCCAAAACAAGTCTCTGTGTTTCTCCCCAAACCTTCTCCCAGCTCAGGAAATGGTGGTTCCATTCTACCAGATGCTGATGCTGTGAACTGTCAAGGAGCGGGGTCCTCCTCATAGCGACCCTGGGAGGCCCAAACTTCTTGACTGTGCCCTCTCTCTATTGCCTCCACCTTGAAGATAGATCTCACAACACTTCCAGTGCCCCCTCTGCCCTGGACTGTGGTAGAAGCTGCCACCATCTTTCATGTTGGGACTTTGCCATCTCCCCACATGATCTCCCGATTCCATCATAGAACTCAAAAATTAAACCTAGGATATTACCATAAACCAAACCAGGAGGAGGCAAGGCTTGATGG